GTGATTGTTTTTGTATCTTCTCTCATGTTCTCTAACCATTGGCGATTTGGAGTCATGTGGCTGGTCGCCCCACTATCTATGATCCAGCATGTATCTGGCTCTCCATTTGTACTTAAAGTCATTACTCTCTGTCTGTTGTTACCCTCGTTAGTTGGTTTCTCTTTTCTCTGTCGGTTATCGTTCACTCTAGCTGAGTTTTCCCAAGCTATTTTAGAAGTTTTGAAGTTTGATCTTCGGTTGTCGAGATCGATGTTGTCCCGTTTGTCTCTATTCCTTGCTTTGTTAATCGGGTTCAACCAGCATTCAATTGCCTTGTGATTTGGTTTACGGCAGATGTAGCATAGCGTTTCCCTCGTTCGAGATTTTCTTTGTGCATTGTCCTTTGGAGTTTTATAATTCGGTGGGTGATACGCTCTGTAGGCTGTGAGGTTTTCCCTCTGTTCGAGCCCATTTCTTTCTTCATATCTCTCGAAGGTTTTTCTCACGTCGGAGATCTTGGGGTCTTTTAGGTTGTCGAATTGCATGGCTATTAGGTTGTACTTTTGTGGTAAACCTCTCAATAGCGCGGTGATGAATTCGTCATCCTCTATTTGGGCTCCCATTATCCTAGCACTCTCTAGAAGTTTTTCTCCTCTTAATAGATAATCTCTCCATGTCTCGTCACGATTCATTACTAATCTCGCCACATTATTTCTGGCCTCTATCGCTTGTTTCCTTAAGTCCCCTTCATATCTTTCTCTCAAGTGGGTCCAAATCTGTTTTGTCGTTTTACACGTTAAGATAAGCGCCACTTGTGTGTCGTCCATCGCACATGTTAAAATGCCTCTAGCCTGGGAGTCCGTTTTTTTCCATTTCGCCTCTTCGGCGGGATCCGTAGGTGGGTCGTCTATTAACAGATTTCCTAGATCTCTACTTTCTAGGATGGCCATTATACGGTACTTCCAGCTTGTGAAATTGCTACCCGTAAACTTCGGTAACTGTCCATGTCCTATTTCGGCCATTCTATTCGTTATAACGGTTCGGTTTCTAAGATAGCAAATTTAGGCTTACCGTGGTCGATCGTTCAATCCGGTTGCATCGACGTTGGAATTTTCTTCCTGGGCCCATAACCCTTTGTTGAGTTAATTTCTCATGCTATTCACAATTAACGCAATCCTTTGACAACAAAACAGCTTTATTTCTAACTAGAAAGGTTTAATTAACAAGCTCTACATTAAAGGTAAGCACACCTCGTGCTTCGATCAACGCCATCTAACAGAGATGATTTTTTTAATTAATTAAGATGTATCCGCAGCCTTCCCATAGCCAAATTATAGCCACGACAGGATGTAACAGATCTCTTTTTAGTCTTAATACATAGATACAATTTTTAGGATTAGTAGGAATATTTAGCCTGGTCCCAACATGCTGACACTTCCGGCTCGCTCAAAAACTGGTTTGAGAGTAAGCTGGGGGTGTCAGCATGTTGGAACCAGGCTAAATTATTAAAAAGGTGTTTGATGTCAACGATTTACAATTAATGGAAGCTTTTGAAATATTCCATACATCTAGAAAGGGTGAATGCATTAATTTCAAGGGGAAAGAAATGTTATCCAAAGCATACAGTCTCTAGTTGGTAACCTGATGAGGCAAGAGAACAACATAGGCTTGATTTAAAAACTTTTGTTAATAANAACATATTAAAATACAAATTAAAGAAAAGAACTGAGTTCTGTGGCAGAACTATAACTGCTATTTTTAAATTTACAAATTTCGAAAAACAAATGATTTATGTATTTTAAAAGTTCTACAAAGAAATAATTTATGCATATGTAATAATATGTAAATTGTTTGTTTGTAGAACTTTTAAAATACATAAATAATTTGTTTTCAAATTTTGTAAATTTAAAAATAACAGTTTTAGTTCTATTATTAGAACTGTTTTTCGTTTTTAACCTGAGGTAGACCTCTGAACAGGATTGAAAATATTGTTTTGATTAAACTAGTGCTGGAAAAGTGTGTAAGGCATGGTGTGATTACTGTTTCACATCAAATATATTTAATTTTAATTAGATTTTGGTTGAAAGTCATAAATCTTTTCCTTTGATGAACTAGCTTAATACTTGTATATGTCATTTTTTATCAAATAGTTAGTACGAAATTTAATTTTTTAATATGATTATGAAAATTCATCCAAGTAAAGAACCAATATTTTATAAATTAAAATCATATCAACTAAATAATAATATAATTTGAATCAAATTATTTCAAATACTCCATATATAATAAGTGAAATACTGATTATCATAAAACATTTATCTAAACTGTATAGGTTTAATATTTTCTATTCATTTTTAATACAGTAAAAAATGTTACCATCAAAAAAAGAATATCCATTTTACTTTCATTCCAGCTTACATTATCTTCTATTATTACAGTCCACATAACAGCAGTTTTCAAATAATAAGATGCTAAAGGTTTCCATCCTTCTCTGTCCCTTAACAACTAAAACATTTTAGATGAAAAATAAATTAATACTATATAAATTTAATTATTATTGATTTATAGTATTATTATTTTTATTGTAAAAAATTAAATTTTAAAATATTGGGATATTCAAATAATATCCATAGATACAAACATGTTTTAATTAACATAATTTTCTTAGTGTATCTTGTAATTGATATTCCAAAATTATGTGCATATCAATGATGGTATTTTTCTAAATCAATCTAAAATTATGGATTTCTCATGCTTTACCAAAAGTCAAAAGTTGCCACATTTTGCAGTATTGCTAAGATACTTTAATTTTATTGAGAAGTGTCCTCTCATATGGATTGAGAAACATTTAGTGGATTTTTTTAAAAGATAAGCTGAAGGGATATGAATTTGAAATTAAAGATATGGTGGATTATTTTGACTAAGATCAAAAATGGATGATAATATCTTTGATCTCAGACCACCTTCCTTACATTTTCTAGCAAACAATTTTATTATAACACAAATGTTTTTGGCCTCATTTAGGAGACTACATCAGGTTTAAAAAAAAAAAAAAACGAGTTCCAAATTACAATGTTTCATTGTTTAAGATGATGTCTTAAATTTCAATTTTCTATCTATCGCATAGATGATAGAACATTTGGAGGATATTTTGTTCTGTATATTCAGAAACAAATAATTGAACTAAAATGTTTGTTTCTGAATTTTTCTGTTAATTGTATATGATCACATAATTATCTATGCAATCATCTGGGACTACTTGGAGTGAAGAATAAATTTACGTAGAATCTTACTTTATGCAATACTTGGTTTTTTGGTCAGTGAAAAATTAACCTATGGATTATAAGCAAGAAATGATGGCAAATTACACATCCAAATTAAAAGAATAGGTTACACCTATATTCTTTATAATGACTATATTCAATATCTAAACAATAAAAATTGTACTATTGCAATATGTAACTATAAAGGAATGTTGATAGAACACAAAGAATTTGATATGTCACACTAACCTTGTGTAGCTTTGCAGTTATTACTTAAAAACCTGGTGTTCTTTTGATTTTGGCCCGAACTTTCTCGTTTCTCAACATTGCGAATGTATCTGGCTTACGTCTGTATGCTATTTTTGCATTAGTGTAAGCCCCAATTTCTTGATATAGGGACTGCTTAGGGTGCTCGTGTTATAGCTATACAGTAGGGAGGTGTATTTTGCCGTGGATCCTTTTTTGGGATCCTATTCAATTGGTCTTTGAGCTGATATTTCAAGAGAAACAAGAAAGATCAGGCCAAAATCGAAAGAACACGAGGGGTATATAAAATCCTGTTAAAAGTTAAAAAAGATTCGATAGGGACCTCGTATATGTTGGATCTACAAAAAATATCACTCAAACAACACCTCTGTGAGCTCAAAACAGACAAAAAAAAAACCCACCTTAGTGATATATGCCAACAAAAACGACATTACACCTAATCTAAAACAAGCAACACTGATTCGACAAACCCAACATATAAACCAACTGCAAAATCTGGAGGAGTTAGAAATTTTTAAAGCAGACTGCAAAGGCCTGTCAATCAATTTTAAAGAAGAAAAAACTATCAAGAGCATGGAAGGCTATTTATGATGCAATTCTATAACAACTGGCACAGGTGCACATCATTTGGAGATTCAAATTTTGAAATTTTAAAAATAAATTCTGAAGATAGAAGCATTGGAGACCTGAACGGTTAAAGATCGGAATCACACCAGAAAAACTTATAGAACACCCGAGGAAGACCCTAGAAGTGGATCAAAAACATCTGTGTTACGTTTTTAAGTAATAACTGCAAAGCTATACAAGGTTATTGCAACATATTTGTAATTATTACTTTGTTTATTAGATGGATTTGAAAGAATTTGATATAAGTTATATAAAAAATTTTGATAAAAACTTCATCAATATATTCTTTCATGAAAATTATATGAAAATTAAGTACAGTAGACCCCCCCTATAATTACGGTCCCTATAATTACGATTCCTATAAAACTGCGAATAAATTGCGACGGTATCCATAAAAAACAGTAAAAAACTCCTATAATTACGTAAAACGTCATCAGGCAGCCGAACTACTTTCCCGCCATCCACGGACATTTATGCGGGTAAGTTGAGTTTAGTTTCGTCTGTACATATAATTATACATAAATNATAAATAAATAGAATTGAAATGACACTTTGAAATATTTTCCCAATTAAAATGAATAATAATAATAATAATAATAAGTTCCAATAAAAATGATAAAATGTAAATTTAATTTTATCATAATGAGTTTGCTTGAATTTCGTTTCTTCTGAGATCGCAGCAATGCGTGACGGGTAAGCTAGTTATTTTCCATTCGGATGTGTGAACATTACTGACTTTAAAGGAACAACGTAACGGTATGTTAAAAAATGTGTTTATGAGTTAAATTAAGTAACGCTAATAATGATAAATATTTGTTTATTAGATAAGTGAAGATGCTTATTTGTGTAAATTATACACCAGTTATGCAAATGTTCAAAGTAATTTTTTTAAAAAGGTGATTCAGATTTTGAGGTATGTGTAGTTTAATATCTAAAATGTCTATATATGTATATTGCATTTTATGATTTGTGTACATTTTATTAATTTTAATTGACTGAAGAGGGGCATTATTAAACCCGAAACGTGTACAAATAACTTATACGCGTAACTGAATAAAAGTTAATGATGAAAAATGCTAAGTGGTCAAGTGATCGCACTACATCATATTCGAACAAAGGACTAATATTAACAATCGCTAATAATTAAAATTATAGCAAATATTCAGAAAATATTTTTAAACAATTAAAAAAAAACAATTTATTTACAAATTTTTTTCCATCACAATATCATTACAATATAAATATATCACTGAACATATGGTAAACATAGTTTTGATATTTTGTAGGCATACTCATTAGGTGCATTCTTGAAGACAATGTTGAATTTATATTCATTATGTGATTTTTTGTACATAAATTAGTCGTGTTGTTAAATAACACAATCTGAAAAATTCTAATATTGCTTCCATATATAAATATGAAATTTGAATTGATTAAAATTCACAAATATAAATTAATATTTTCTGGATTAGTTTCAATGTCTTTTATTATCTTACTAAGTCTCTGTTCAATGTGCTTTGATTGAGAGCGGGTCATTTTACAAATCAGATTATAATCAGGATAAAATATATAAGGTATATTTACATTTTTCACAAATTCTCTCAATTTTCTAAGCATCTGTTAAAAAAAAAAATGATTTCATAAATTATTACAGTATATATTATTTTAATAAATTAATTTATTTATATTAAATGTAGTTACAAATGCAGCTCTGAATGAGACAACTGGGACTTTATCAGAGCTATAGACAATGCCTGTAGGAGTTAAAAAGTCAAAAGAATCAATAGTCTATGTATGACCTTCATGAGACAGACCCCAAATTCAGCCTATCTGGTTATTAAACATTTACTGGGTTTAATGGAGCACACAGTGACTGATTGTGCCCTAGAAGTAGTTGGTGCAATGGACTCATGTTTTATAAGCATTTTGTCATCTTTACTAAAGTGGAATATAGTTGATTTTTAGCATTTTTTGAGAAACAGTTCCAGGTTTTTTCACTTTTAAATTTTACCCCACTTTCAATGGTCTTCAAAATCCCAGATAGGCCAATTTTGGGGAGTTATAACTTTGCAAAGGGTCATGTACAGACCGTAACTTCTTTTGACATTTTTACTCCCATAGTGCCTATAGGAGCAAAAATATCTGATAAGGTTCCAACCACCTTATTCAAAGTTGAAATTTTATCTTAAAGGTAATATTTTTATTTATTATTATTTATTAAAAAATGTAAATATTTTAATATTACAATAATTGCATTGATAAAAGATGTTACAGATATGCAGATACTTCTCATTATCTCTGCAACATAGAAAGTCAAAGTTTGGGACAACTTACAAATTATATAACAAACTATATTTTTAGGGCTATCCTTATACATTAAAATCAATTAATTATTATTGGCATAAGACAAATAAGTTTATGATTTTATGAAGTATAACAATATGAAATTATCATTATTTGAATAGATTAAAAAATATCACTGGACAATAAATGTCTTAAATTTTACTTTAAAATGTGAAATTACTTGTATGTTATATTTGAAACACCATTGCCTTGTGGTTTGAGAGTATAAAAAAAGGCCAACAAAGAAACCCATTATCCTCCAAATAAATGAAGTGTAATAAAGACAATTGTAAGGAGCTGTGGATTTGGTTTATTCATAGTTATGACAATATTGTATTAGCTAATATCAACTGATATTTTCAAAACAAACAAATCTTAGCATCATTATGTATTGCTAATTAAAGCAACTGAATGGAAAAGTTTAAGCTGAAAATGTTTCTTCAATATATTTAGCGATAATGGCACAAGAATTAGCTTCCTTCCATATTATCATGAAAAGGGCAATCAATTGTTCACTCCCCTCTAAATATACACCATAAAGAAAGGTTAGGATTGTGAAAATAGAATTATCACAATTTGACTTTGTTTCAAAAGCAATTAAAGGTCTTTTATTGCAGAGTAAAATATAAAGTTATACATTAAAAGATTTATGTACTGTAGAACTTAAAAGAACCTAGAGTATAGGCCGATACGTTGAAATTACATTAACATAATAACAACTTTGTATGTTTTGTGTTAGTGCATTTTTCCCAAAAGACAGACTTATCACTCTGGATTAAACACAGAACAGAATGACATTTAGGCACACAATTTACAGAGTAATTCTATGTATCTATTTTATGATATGCATTTTGGATGTGTTGAGTTAATTTCTCATGCTATTCACAATTAACGCAATCCTTTGACAACAAAACAGCTTTATTTCTAACTAGAAAGGTTTAATTAACAAGCTCTACATTAAAGGTAAGCACACCTCGTGCTTCGATCAACGCCACCTAACAGAGATGATTTTTTTAATTAATTAAGATGTATCCGCAGCCTTCCCATAGCCAAATTATAGCCACGACAGATTCCCCGCCTAATTTGGCCAGGGATTGGGTGCGGCAGATTCACATATACAAAAAATCGTCTTTGACGAACAGATTTAACTTTGGTCGACTTAACGGTTTTGTAAAGGCGTCGGCTACGTTTTCTTCGGTTTTTATATATTTAAGTTGAAATGTTCCTTCTTCCATCTGTTGACTTAGATATGATGCCAGTCTGATTAAATGATTTGAGTTGTTACTCGTGTAGCCTGATTCAACTTGCATACTTGCCTTTGGTTTTTCGTATTTTCTACGTATCCCTTGGGTTGTTCCATATATATTGTTTCGTTTAGCCTTCCGTACAGATATGCCGTTTCTATGTCTAGGTGGTTGATGTCATAGTTGTGTATAGCAGCGTATATTAAAAGTCCTCTTAGGCTGTCGGCTTTTATGACAGGTGAGAACGTTTCGTGGAAGTCTATCCCGTATTTTTGTGAGCAACCTGTGGCTACCAGTCTGGCCTTGTATTTTGTGCATGAGGTCACGGGGTCGTGTTTGAGGTTGTATACCCACTTGCATTTTATGGGTTTTATTCCCTCTGGAAGGGTTACAGTTTCCCATACATTATGAGCCTTTAACGATTGCATCTCCTTTTGCATGGCTTCAATCCATTTGTCCTTGTCCGGTAGGTTCAATGCTTCCTCATAGCTGTTCGGGATTATGAGTTTGCTCTCTGATATCAGGACTCTGTTGTACGGTCGATATGTTGGATCGTTTGTGTCTTCCGGTACGTCTTCTTCGACATCGGAGTCACTTAGAGGTGGTTCGTAATAGAAATTTAGAGGTGGTCTGGGTCTTTTTTCTTCTATTGGAGAGAGATTTTCCTCTGTAGGTTCATTTAGGTCGTAGCCTGTCTCGATTTCGTTATCGGAATTTGTGACTTCTGTATCCTCTATATCCTGAGCTGTAGGAGTTGAATCAGTGTACTCTCTCTCTATATCGACTAGGGTATAGTCCTGCGTTGGATTTGCTTG